TGGTAAAGAAAGAGTATCAACAAAGGCTTCGTAAAAATCTCGCTCTCTCTCACACTCTGGATGTTGATCAACACTGGTCAAGTATGCAACAAGCCTTGCTGTCGGCCGGTTTGTCCAGCTGTGGCCTCGCTCGCTCCACTCTCAAAAGCTGGATCTTGGGAAGATCCTCGGAATTGCTGGATCGCCGACGGGCGGTGCCTGCTGGTGCAGCGCACAACGGACATCGCCGTCCTATTACGCAACAGCTGAAAGCAAGTCTTCGCTCTGATCGTGAATCTTGGTGGTCAAAACAAGCTGATGAGATGGAAGCCGGTGCATCGGCTGACAACTTCCGCCGTCTATTTTACATCATCAGGGCCACTGATTGCAATTTCCACGCTATCAGCCAGACGATTTGCGAATCAGACGGCACGAAGATCACCAACCTTCACAGGCGATTGGGTCGCTGGGCAGAGCATTTCGCTCTTCAATTCAACCACCCAACACAGCCCCAATGTATGATGTTTGGCCTGTCTCCACAGTCCCCCCAGATGAAGCAGAGATTCGAAATGCAATCCAATCTTTGGAACGCCACAAGGCACCGGGTCCCGACAATCTACCACCGGATCTATTCAAAGATGGCGGGAGTGTACTTGTCAGCGAAATCCTATCGCTGTTCACGAAAGTTTGGACTGAGGAGAAGTTTCCGAACGCATGGGGAGAATCGGTCATTGTTCCGATTCACAAGAAGGGCTCCCGCGCCGATTGCTGCAACTACCGTGGAATCTCGTTAATCTCTGTCGCGTCCAAAATCTTCGTGTCAATCCTACTTAGCAGCCGTTCAACGACTAGAGAGGAGTTTTCCCGAGAAGAACAAGCCGGATTCCGTCCACGCCGCGGCTGCATCGACCAAATCTTCACTCTTCGGCAAATTCTTGAACTTCGTCACATCCACTGACGGCCAACAATCGTAGTGTTTTTGGACATCCGAGCGGCATTTGATTCAGTAGATAGATCTGCAATGTGGAACTGTTTACTGAAGAATGGTGTGCCCGACAAGTTTGTAACCACCCTGAAAGAACGTCACAGTTACACGTCGGGCAAAGTCAGGGCTTACGGCACGCACTCTTCTTCATTTGCTGTGACTAGCGGTGTTCGCAAAGGTTGCCCTATTTCAGCTTTCCTCTTCAATTTGTCATCGAAGATGTTCTCCAAAGAGCACTGGAAGGTGTTCAGGACTGCGGTGTTGGGCTCCTCCCTGGAGACAGAGTCATGAACTTGGACTACGCTGATGACATCGCCTTGCTGGGGGACGACCCACAATCCGTCCAGAGCGCTTTGGGCTGCTTGGCGATGGAGGCGTCTAAGTACGGCTTTTGCTTAATAGAGCGGCAACTGAGTTACCACATGTGGATCCTCTTGTCTAATGAATGTGACCTTACCGCTGGCAGAGGTTCATCAAGCAGCTATCACTTCCCTATTGCATCTGTACTTTACTTTAAGTAGTACTGCGCAGCAATGGTAACCTTAAACTGTAGACCTTACTTACACTCCATACCTCCACCTTCAACGGCTGGCTTCCAAATAGGATCAACTGTGCCTCTTGAGAATCAAGCGGCAATCAGTTGTAAACTGGACGGTCGTGCGTCTCCCGCAAGAAGCAGCTTGAGCTACGACCCCCATTCCCTTATCCTCTGGTCCCATTTGAAAGGCCACCTTCAGTTACTTCTCCATTCCTTTCCTCGTCCCGACAGCTATAGATATTTGTCGACCACGACGTTTCACAAGCTGTAGATCTCTTTTCGACCTATTTATGACCCACTCTTATTTATCTTGTATTCAGTTTTGCTATAAATGTTCCTGAGCGCAATGGCAAACCCCTCTGATTTGACGGGTTATATGCCTAAACCATAACTCCGCCACCATTTCCTTATCTCCTTCATAAACATTACCAACCCTTAAATAGCTTCTCCTGTGGCTCCGCCTAATTGGACCAAACTTGGTAAACTCCAATTTGCGATGTTTTCCGCAACCGAGACTCGTGTAGGCGCACAGATGTGCTGATGGTCCGTGGAGTCCATCTCTCTTCTGTTCTTATCAGAGCTCGACTGAACCCACCGGAATTATTCAACGCACTCCAGTTCAAGTTCTGGTGGGACTGGAACGATAAGAGAATCCCGTGAGTGTTTCATCTTGAGTGGATCGTTGAGCCAGGAATTGATGAAGTGCATAGAGTTATTGATGGATCTAAAACACCCGTATTGTACCCCGGCCAACCAGTTAATGCCCACGTTTCCTGCCCTAGCAGTCCCTGTTGTGGCAGTCATGTGAGGTAAGCAAAGGGTAGGAAGAGAAATCGAATGTACAGAATAGGGAAGTGCACTTAAATAAGAAAATAATACCAAGGCATGAAGAAAAGAAACTAGAAGTATGAAGATGCGAGTTAGTCAGGAAAAGGGAAAGGTTACGTGTTGCCACCCAAGAGCGTCAAGTTACTGCTAAAACCCCTTAACCGCAGATTCCCTGATAACACTTTCCGGAAGCATGTTCCAACGTTCGATGCCTCGGCGTGACAGCCGGATTTCCGCCCTAATCCGATCGGACTGCGGTTTGTCCAACTTCAAGGAATGACCGCGCAGGACAGACAATCTAGCGGGAATGAATAGCCAGGATAAATCTGGACCAACCTTCCCAGTTAAGATACGGTAGGTTAGGATAAGGTCTCATCTAAGCCTTCGGTAGTGCATTGAATGCATTCCCAAACTAAGTAGACGCTCGGGGTACATCCGTCCCCGTTATCCCTTGATTAACCTAGCACCCACTCGTAAAACCCTCTCTAGCTCCATTTTGTCCCGGACGAGGTAGGGCGAACAAGCCTGGACGCAGTATTTCAGACGAGGCCGAACGAAAGCCGAGAACAGTCTCGTAAGGATGCCGCCCGTCAACACCCCGAAAGAACGTCGTATTCACCACAACATGCGGAAACCTCTGCTTGTGGCCTTCTTCCAGGTATCGCCGGAGTGTAAAGCCGAAGAGTGTACGAAGCCTAGATCAATCTGGCTAGATACACGGGAGAGTTCGACCCCCCGAGTAAGTACTTCGCAGGAGGACAACCTTCTCCAATTCGAAGAACAGAGCACTTTGCCTGATTTATGGACAGTAACCATAAAGTAGACCAGTCCCAAAGCTTATCCAAGACTCGCTGAATAGCTTCGGAACCCACAGGAACATCGACAATGTTCCACAGCTTCAGGTCATCAGCAAACAGTAGCGATGGTACCTCATGCTCTGCGAGTAGGTCATTCACATAGATAGAGAACAGCAGCGGTCCAAGCCCTGCGGCACGCCACTGAGGACAGACTGCCTAAACGATAGGCCACGGTCTACCCGTATACATTGTTTTCTACCATTCAAAAAGGCCGTCACCCAATGAAGGGCGCGACCAGATACCCCGTAGGAGGTCAGCTTTCGCGCGAGGTTTAAATAGGGTGCCTTGTCAAATGCCTTCGAAAAGTAGACGAAAAGCACGTCCAATGTGTGGCCGTTATTTACTGCATAAGCCTAACTTTCGCGAGCGACCAGTAGATTCTTCAGACACGAAAATCCCTTCTGGAATCCGTGTTGTACATTGCTAAGTAGATTAAATCTACTCAGATAACTCTCCAATGAAACTCTTACCAGTCTCTCGAGTTTGACTACTAAACACGTCAGAGTAACGCCTGTAATTTGCAGACAGACTCCTGTACCCATTTTTGAAGATAGGACAGATGACAGCTTCCTTCCATTCGGAAGGTAATGCAAAGCTGTCAAGCGATTTCTGAAACACCATAGTGAGCAGTCCACTTAGTTGCGCAGCAAACTCATGCAACAGTTTCGGGTGAAATAAATCAGGCCCAGAGGCCTTAGAAGGGTTCAGCCCTTGTAGTAGCCTTCGAACTTTTGTCTCCACTACAATAAATTCAGACAGTGTTGAACCCCCTGGGATCCCGCAAACTTGCTCAACGACTGTCAAAGAGGTTTCCCTTACAAACGCTGCTGCGTACTGCCCACTAAGTATGCAGGCCTTGTCATAGTCCGTATGCGCATGAGTACCGTCATCAGGCAACAATACTGGAATGGATGTGTTCGAACCGCAGCGCCTTTTGACGTATGCAAAGAATCTTATTGGATTCTCTAAAGCTTCGGCTGCTAACTCTTTCTCGAAATTGAGCCGAGCATTCCTTAGGTGTTGTTTACACCTATTTCTAGAATAACGGTACCTGTCATAAGTATTGGTGGACGGAGCATCTCGGTAAGTCCGCCAACATTTAAACCTCTGTGAGCATATGCCTGCCAGTGGAATCTATCAAGGGCGGTTGTGCTCGAGCCTCCTTTCTCCTTGTGACTGGGATGAAGGGAGCAGAGACCTCTGTGAGGTAGGACTTAAATTTATCCCAGGCAACTTGGACAGTATCATCGCCCGAGATCTCACAAGGGAAAACTGTACCCTTGGCTCTCATTGGTTGATAGTCTACGTGCCATATGTTCGGGCGAGACTCAACAGTACTCTGGTAGCGTCTAGACAGAGTACAACTGAAGAGCAAACAAACATGATCACTGGAACCCAGTGGAGGTCCGTAAGTAATGTCACCAACAAAATCGAGTGACTTAGCAAATACAAGGTCCAAGATAGACGGTACTTAGGCGTCCATGCACCTAGTGGGGAGGTCAATGAACTGATGCAACGGTACTTGGAGCGTAAGCTCAAGTAGATCAGCGCCGAATGTGCCTGACGCTGAGTCGCAAGAAAGATCAGTCCAACAAACCTCCGGGAGGTTGAAGTCGCCCATCACCTAACACTTGTTTGCGGACTGACAGCGAATAAAGTCAAGTACCACTTTGGATACGCTCCCAGGGCTTCGATACACAATTACAACTGCAACCGGAGTCGAGGATGTGCTAATCACAGCCGACAGATCTTCAGCAGCTTTGTCTGCCGACTGAAATAAGCAAGTCTTCAAAACGTCAAGTTTACAGCTCACATAAAGAGCGACGCCTCCTCCCTGCTGGCCAGCGGAGCGATCGCATCTAAATAGTGCGTAGCCAGATAGATGTACTTCACCATCCGTGATGTCCTGAGACAACCACGTTTCAGTGAATCCGAGTATATCGGGATGACACCCATCTACAAGCAGACCTAACTCGTACACCTTATTCCTTAGGCTGCGCACATTAGCACTATCTGAAGGTATTCGTTAGGTCCAGACCTCGGTCGTGCGCTACCAGAATGGGCAGTGGTAGGGCGGAAAATGACCGCCGACTGACCACCCGAACACGTACTAACCGCAGACCTTGTTCACCGGACGCTCGTCTGCTTTTGAGGTCCTTGATGGCCTCCCTTAGCTTCAGCCTATCAGCCAGCGGAAGGTCCGGCTGAACACTAATGTACCTTTCAGCTTAAAAGCAAACCGCATGTGTGTTGCGCTCCTCCGGGGTAGAGAGTACAACACCAAGTAGCCGCGGTCGAGAGTTTGGTTCATTAACTGGGACGTTTCTCAGTTTAATCAGCTTCCTGACAGTAACGCCTGGAAAACCAAGCGGAAGAAGCTTCATTACGCACATTTTAAACCATTGGAGGTTGTCCAACATGCGATCAGCAGGAAGGACAGCAGTGGATTCAGCCGCGTTACGGAATATAACGCTACTATCCGTGAAAGAATCACCACGACGGGGTGCATTAAGCCCAGGGGTCTTTGATTCGATACTTGAAGATTCACCACTGGTGATGGGACCGTCTTTATCACCTCAGATGATGTAGCAACGGCAGCGTGTTTTTCGCTCGATTGTCGATGCCTTAATTTTTCGGGTCATTGATTCCAACGAAAGGCTTTATGACAGATTTGGTCTGCTTTTCTTCTTGCTAACGGGATCAGGGTCTCGTGATGCTTTGAGAAGAGTCGAGCAAACCTTCAGAACGTGCCTTCTCGTTGAGAGCCAAAATATCCAGCAGTTTCGACTGACAAGTAGTGCGGGTGGGAAACTTCACACAACCGTCAGACAGTTTGATAAGTAACGTATCCAAAGAGGTACTTGAATTCATCCGCTCCCAGTCCTCAAATAAGTGTTTGGTGATGGGCGACTTCAACCTCCCAGAGATTTGCTGGGCAGATCTTTCTTGCGACTCAGCGTCAGGCACATTTGGCGCTGATCTGCTTGAACTTACGCTCCAAGTATCTTTGCACCAGTTCATTGACCTCCCCACTAGGTACATGGACGCCCAAGTGCCGTCTATTTTGGACCTTGTATTCGCTAAGTCACTCGATTTTGTTGATGACATTACTTACGGACCTCCACTGGGTTCCAGTGATCATGTTTGTTTGCTCTTCAATTGTACTCTGTCTAGACGCTACCAGAGTACGGTTGAGTCTCGCCCGAACATATGGCAAGCAGACTATCAATCAATGAGAGCCAAGGCTTCTGGTTTCCAGTGTGAGATCTCAGACAACGATACTGTCCAGTTTGCCTGGGATAATTTTAAGTCCTACCTCAAAGAGGTCTCTGCTCCCTTCATCCCAGTCACAAGGAGAAAGGAGGCCCGAGCACAGCCGCCTTGGATAGATCCCACTGGCAGGCATTTGCTCACAAAGAGGTCTAGATATTGGCAGACTTACCGAGACGCTCCGTCCACCGATACTTATGACAGGTACCGTAAAGCTAGAAATAGGTGTAAGCAACACCTAAGGGATGCTCGGCTCAATTTTGAAAAAGGGTTAGCGGACGATGCTTCAGAGAATCCAAAAAGATTCTTCGCTTATGTCAAAAGGCGCTGCGCTTCGAACATGTCAATTCCAGTGTTGATGCGTGATGACGGTACTCATGCGCATACGGATTATGACAAGGCCTGCGTACTCAGTGGGCAATATGCGGCAGCGTTTGTAAGGGAAACCTCTTTGACAGGCGTTGAGCTGGTTTGCAGGACCCCAGAGGGTTCAGAACTATCTGAATTTATTGTAGCGGCGACGGAAGTTCGTAGGCTGTTACAAGGGCTGAACCCTTCTAAGGCCTCTGGGCCTGATTTATTTCACCCGAAACTGTTGCATGAGTTGGCTGCGGAACTAAGTGGACCGCTCACCATTGTGTTTCAGAAATCGCTTGACAGTTGTACATTGCCTTCCGAGTGGAAGGAAGCTGTCATCTGTCCCATCTTTAAACATGGGGACAGGGGTCTGCCTGCAAATTACAGGCCAGTTAGTCTGACGAGTGTAGTAGTCAAACTCCTCGAGAAACTGGTGAGAGATTCATTGGAGAGTCATCTAAGTAGATTTAATCTACTTAGCAATGTACAACACGGATTCCGGAAGGGATTTTCGTGTCTGACGAATCTGTTGGTAGCTCGCGAAAATTGGGCGGATGCAGTGGATAACGGCCACACACTGGACGTGCTTTTCGTCGACTTTTCGAAGGCATTTGACAAGGTACCCCATTTGAGGCTCGCGCAAAAGTTGTCCTCCTACGGGGTATCTGGCCGCGCCCTTCATTGGGTGACTGCCTTCTTGGAGGGTAGAGAACAATGTGTACGGGTAGGCCGGGGTCTATCATTTAGGCAATCTGTCCTCAGCGGCGTGCCGCAGGGCTCGGTCCTTGGACCGCTGTTGTTCTCTATCTATGTGAATGACCTACCCACGGAGCTTGAGGTATCATCGCTGCTATTTGCTGATGACCTGAAGCTGTGGAACATTGTTGATGTTCCTATGGGTTCCGAAGCTATTCAGCGAGCCTTGGATAAGCTTTGGGACTGGTCTACTTTATGGTTACTGCCCAGAAATCAGGCAAAGTGCTCCGTTCTTCGAATTGGAGGAGGTTGTCCTCCTGCGAAGTACTTGGTCAGTGGGGTCGAACTACCCCGTGTATCTAGCCAGCTTGACCTAGGCGTCGTACACTCTTCGGCTTTACACTCCGGCGACAACTGGAAGAAGGCCGCAAGCAGAGGTTTCCGCATGTTGTGGTTAATCCGACGTTCTTTCGGAGTCTTGACGGGCGGAATCTTTACGAGGCTGTTCTCGGCTTTCGTTCGCTCTCATCTGGAATACTGCGTCCAGGCTTGTCCGCCCTGCCTCGTCCGGGACAAAATGGAGCTGGAGAGGGTTTTACGAGTGGGTAGTAGGTTAGTCGAGGGATTACGGGGACGGACGTACCCCGAGCGTCTACTTAGTTTGGGAATGCATTCTATGCACTACCGAAGGCTTAGAGGAGGCCTAATCCTAACCTACCGTATCTTGACTGGGAAGGTTGGTCCAGATTTATCTTGGCTATTCAGTCCCGCTAGATTGTCTGTTCTACGCGGTCATTCGTTGAAGCTGGACAAACCGCGGTCCGATCGGATTAGGGCGGAAATCCGGCTGTCACGCCGAGTTATCGACCGCTGGAACATGCTTCCGGAAAGTGTTATCAGGGAATCTACGGTTAAGGGGTTTGAGCGGCAACTTGACGCTCTTGGGTGGCAACACGAAACCTTTCCATTTTCCTGAGTAACTCACATCTTCGTACTTCGATTTTCTTTTCTCTACTTTTCTTCACGTATTGGTATTATTTTCTTATTTAAGTGCACTTCCCTATTCTGTACCTTTGATTTCTCTTCCTATCCTTTGCTTATTTCACGTGACTGCCAAAGCAGGGACTGCTAGGGCAGGAAACGTGGGCATTAACTGGTTGGCCAGGGTGCGATACGGGTGTTTCCGTTTTAGATCCATCAACAACTGAGCACTTCATCAATTCCTGGCTCAACGATCCACTCAAGATGGAACACTCACGGGATTCTCCTATCGTTCCAGTCCCCATCTGAACTGAACTGAACTGAACGACACTTTACTTGTTTCCAGTGCCGAGACAACTACAACTACTATTTTAGCAAAGAGCTTACGGGGTTTTCTATCTCTTTCGCTCTACTCGAAGGAGTTTTTGAGCCAGCAATACGGCATAGACCAGGGTAGCTTTAGGTACGACGTCCGAAGCAGCTTCATTTTCGTCCTCGCCAGTCATATGGACGGGTGACATAACGATTGGTGTCACAAGTTGATCTCCAGTGTAAGCGATCAAATCTGCGTTGTTGGAGACCGGAAGCGTTGTCATGAGTTGATCAAGCTTAAGGTGAAGATCTGAAAGCATCGAGAACGAACGCTCTACATTTCGCAAAAGAGATTCGTCTCTCGTACAAAAGGCCGCGTCGCCTTCCCGTCGCCTGCAGCCATTGGCACACCTGAAAAGCCACTTTTCGCTAGAAGTCAGCGGTGCGTACTGCACGGTATTCAGATCCATGCAAAGCTCTTTTAATCCCACACATATTTGCCTACATGGGTGATGCTTATCAATATGGCTTTAACCATATTTTCAATCCCTCCATTATCCATCCTTATATCCTTTGGTACTGCGCTCCCCATACTTAAGGAAAGCACGTACATGGGTCTTGTTGGTTAGGTACACCAGAGTGGTTCACGTGATGCCGCTGGAGTATATTATAAAAGATGTAGAACCATTTTAATCACAAAAATAATCGTGGACACCTACTGCAGGATGGATGATTTCAGTTTATGAAAGCACGGTTATAATGGGCTACGGTAGAAGGGCGGTGCTTCTGGCGCACATTATAAGCTTAGCAATGGTCCGGATGCTGAGCGCAATTTTTGCTGCTTTTATCGTATAAAACAAGATTTAGAGGATGATGTGATAAATTCCAAAATTGACGCCAGTTTTTCCATATGCCTAATGACTAGGTAGCGTCCAAAAAGGTAATTATTATCTGTTGTGTACAATTTCACTGATGACCGACTGTAGGCTATGCTTTCTTGTTATAATTTCCCTATCATTGCGTCCATGTTGACTTACATCCAGCTAGGTACTCGACCGCTATTTTAGTTCCCACACTAACGTTTTCTTCCTGTCTTCTTGTAGCGTTTTGTAGCGGACCGTGGAATACGAACCGACAATCAATAAGCTTTTGACAATGTTAAGTCCAAGCCGGAACGATAGGATAATCCTGTGAATCTTCCCACTTTTGCTAATTGTTGGATCGGGAACTGATAGGTCTGCTTAAGTTGTTGAAAATCCTAAAACAAAACCGCATCAC